CTCAGCTCTCTCTCTGCCTGTTGTCCCTCTTCTAAAGAAGTAACTACTGCCTCTCCCTCCCCTCTCTCCCTGTCTCCCCCTTCATCTCTCTCTCTATTTCTCTCTTCCTTCTGCTCCATAATCCCCTATCCATTTACTCTTTCCAATAACCACTAAATAAACTCTATACCCAAGCTCTCTCCACATAGCATATCTGTATGTCTCCCACCCAGTGTGGTCTCCCACCCACCAGGGGACCTACCAGGGTCGCGGCCACCATGAATCTTTGAGAAATAATATAAGCACCCTAGCACTATATTTGGGCCATTTTGTCTATTTGTTTTTGTGGTGCTGGGGACTGAAGCAAGAGCTGCATGTGCTAGGTAAATGCTCTGCCACTGAGTTAAATGATAACAAGTGTGAAGTGAGCGCTTTCATACAGTCATCACTGGGGACAAAAAAAAAGACACAATTAGCATTACAACAACTCCCAGAACTCACTTCACACATTTTACCATGGTGTGTATGATAAAACGAACTGTCCAGCACCCACATCAGGTGGCTCACAGTCATCCTCAACTCCAGCTCCTGAGTGTCTGACACCTCTTTCCCTCTTCTGGTCCCTACAAGCACCCGCACATGTGGTGCACATACATATACTTAGACATAGAATAAGATAATAAATATTTTTATAAAGAGAAATTTTCATGTAAGATACAGTTTAGTGGAAAGTTCATTTAGGTTCAGTCCATAATCATTTTATTTTCTGAATATATGTTACACTTAATTTTTTTTCAGATAGGATCTCACTAATACAGGCCTGAGTTTAAAATCACAAGAACAGTTTTCAAATGACAGCCTTTGCTGGAGAGGCTGTGGAGAAAGGGGTACCCTCATCCATTGCTGGTGGGAATGCAAATTTGTGCAACCACTTTGGAAAGCAGTGTGGCGGTTTCTCAGGAAATTCGGGATCAACCTACCCCTGGACCCAGCAATACCACTCTTGGGAATATACCCAAGAGATGCCCTATCATACAACAAAAGTATATGCTCAACTATGTTCATAGCAGCATGTTTGTAATAGCCAGAACCTGGAAACAACCTAGATGCCCTTCAATGGAAGAATGGATGAAGAAAGTATGGAATATATACATATTAGAGTACTACTCAGCAGTAAAAAACAATAACTTCTTGAATTTTGCATGCAAATGGACGAAAATAGAAAACACTATCCTGAGTGAGGTAAGCCAGACCCAAAAAGAGGAACATGGGATGTACTCACTCATAATTGGTTTCTAGCCATAAATAAAGGACATTGAGCCTATAGTTCGTGATCCTAGAGAAGCTAAACAAGAAGGTGAACCCAAAGAAAAACATATAGTCATCCTCCTGTATATTAACCTTCATCAGGCGATGAAAGGAGACAGAGACAGAGTCCCACATTGGAGCACCAGACTGAAACCCCAAGGTCCAAATCAGGAGCAGCAGGAGAGAGAGCACGAGCAAGGAACTCAGGACCGCGAGGGGTGCACCCACACACTGAGACAATGGGGATGTTCTATCGGGAACTCACCAAGGCCAGCTGGACTGGGTCTGAAAAAGCATGGGATAAAACTGGACTCACTGAACATAGTGGACAATGAGGACTGCTGAGAAGTCAAGAACAATGGCACTGGGTTTTGATCCTACTGCACGTACTGGCTTTGTGGGAGCCTAGGCTGTTTGGATGCTCACCTTACTAGACCTGGAAGGAGGTGGGAGGTCCTTGGACTCCCCACAGGGCAGGGAACCCTGATTGCTCTTTGGGCTGATGAGGGAGGGGAACTTGATTGGGGGAGGGGGAGGGAAATGGGAGGCAGTGGCGGGGAGGAGACAGAAATCTTAAATAAATAAATAAATAAATAAATAAATAAATAGAACAGTTTTCACCAGGTTGTGGCGTGTTTACATACACCTAAAATAAACAACTCAGTGTCATACTCCTGAAGTTCGAGCCAACACTGGCTTTGAGCCGTATTACACCAAACTGCCTTCTTCCCTCTCACGGCTCATCTCTCTGCTGCCTGTGAAGGCCAATAAGACCCCTCCACAGGGGCAGTCTAAAGAGATAGTAACTGAGGATTTTCCTGTATCAACAGTAGGCACCTATCCGTAAAACTACAGAAAAAAAAGAGACAGTTCTTAAGACAGCAAGAGGAACCAATGGCAGATTACATTCTGAAGAAGAAGAGCTAACGTAATCTAGACTGGTATAGGAACATACAAATAAACCAATGGAAACTGTTTCTTCAGTTGTTCAGTGCTGGAGCTCGAACTCAGAGCCTTGGGTAAGCGAGGCAAGTGCGTTTTCACCAAGCTCTACCCCAGTGCTTAGATCAATGGAATAGAATAACAGGCTCTGAATTATACTCATGCATATAGAGATACTACATGTATTTTCAGATTAATGAGAACCCAAAGGATTTTGCAATATCTGATTTGAAAAAGGGGGAATAAGATGGGGAGACCTGACCTTACTTTCTAACATACACAAAAATCAGATATAAGTAGATCATCCAAATAGGAAGTTGAACCTCATCGCTTTGGGAATCAATAGACAGTAGCTGCATGATCTTGAGATACAGAGGTCTTCTTTTTTAAAAAAAATTAAATTTTAAACTGTGTATGAAACAAAAACATTTTGCTTGCATATATGTGTACCCTGTACATGCCTGGTGCTGGCTGTAGTCAGAAGAGGGTGTTGAATCTCCTGAGACTGAAGATGTTACACATAGCTGTGAGCCACTATGTGGGTTCTGGGAATCAAATCAGGGTCCTCTGCAAGAGCAATGGATGTTCTTAACCTCTGAGCCTTCACACCAACCTCTGACAGATGTTTAATATTTAAAGCTTGATGCAAGTGATCTGGAGAAAAGTATAAACTCTGGCTCTCTCATGCAAAGAAATATGTGCATTTTAAAATAGAACTTAGCAAAACCATTTGCTAACAGAAGATTCATGATTTATGATATTTTTAGTGAAATTTTAAGCTACAAATGGTACATGAAGCATAATCTGATGTTGGCACAATAATGAAACTCATTGAAATATTAATATTAGTCACTTGGTCAATTGTTCTTGGTAATTTCTGGGTTTTGAAATTTTTAAAATAATCATTTATTTAAAATAACAAACTTTGGCCGTTGGCGTGCATCATGGTTCTGCTGGAGCTTGTGAAGGGACTGGTCCTGTGGAACAATACCTGCAAGATCTCCAAAACACAGGACACCTCACGAGACTCCGGTGGGGATCCAGAGAGGATGGGGAACCAAAAACCAGAGGCCTTGAACCAGACCAATGGCTCACTGCAATGAACAGTTGCCAGTCAAGCTGATTGGACAAAGGGATATACTATATGTCACATGGAAGCCTCCAATGCCATCAGGACAGACGAGGAGGTGACAGAGAGACAGAGCATTGGGAGAGAAGGAGAAGCAGGGATTTTTCTGTTTCAGGTGTGGGTTTTGTCCTGTTTTGGCTTATTGAGGGTTCGTTGTTCTTGCCTTTGTTTGCTTACCTGCTTGCTTATGTTGTTTTGTTTTCTTTTGTGTGGGAGGGATGTAACAGGGATGAGGAGAGGAATATGGGGGGACTGGGAGGTGAATACAATTGGGGTGCATGATGTGAAACCCCAAAAGATTCAATAAAGAAATTTAAAAAAAAAATAACAAATTTCGGGATGGAGAGATGGCTCAGAGGTTAAAAGCACTGGCTGATCTCCCAGAGGTCCTGCGTTCACTTCCCAGCAACTACATGGTGGCTCACAGCCATCTGTAATGAGATCTGGTGCCCTCTTCTGTACTGCAGGCATACATGCAAGCAGAACACTGTATACTTAATTTTAAGAAATTTATAAAAAAAAAACAACAAAAATTAACAATTTTCATACTTAAAAAGATGAATGTTCAACAAGCGAAAGTAGTGTCAGTTTTCCAACAAGTGAACATTAGGTGTAGGTTGAGTATTAGGAACTATAGTCGTAGGCACTGCTATTCTTTTCTCAGTAGAGACAATATAAGGATCTATACCCAATTGACAAGTCATCACTAAGCAAACATTTCCAGAAGGCATATGAAAAGGAAAGCCTGACTATTATTTGTAGTTCATTGTGCACTCTGTCCCTTTTCTGGACAACTCACCTGGCAAAGGCTAAAACTGGGAGTAGAAAAAAACAATTGCGACACGCCAGGTTTTTCTTGGTTAGGCCAGGGATCGTTACCGGTCTTATCCCCGTTAACCATCATGCATCGGGAGTGGTGACCAGGGGAGAACGGGCATCCTGCCCGATTTGAGTGTCTAGACTCTAAAGGAAAGGTTTCCTTTACTGCTGCCCCGGGTAGGAACCAGACCTCACCTCAGAGAGGGTTCCCGGGGACAGAGCTCCGAAGTCACCACCTGACGGGTGACAGGAATCCCATGGTAACACGCAAGATGCCACATACATCTGGGCACAGTCTTACTTCAGCCACAACTCCACAGGGACCAGAGGTTTCATGTTCTCAGAGAAAGCCCATCAGAATGTATTACAGACGACCCACAAAAACCATTCAGGGCACTGTGGCTGCATAGGCTTCGCCTGTCGTCACCGGAAGTCCTTGCAGTCGTCTGAGATCGGAACCTGTAGCAGAGGACAGAAACCTAGGAACTGCACAGCGCAGGGCTTTCTGCCTCAACGGTCCCGCCAGGAGAGTGGAAACGCCCGAGTTCCGGTGAGAGGCGTGACCAGCCGCTAGGCTTCCTGGGAAGTGTAGTCCACAAAGATACCTCAGCTAAGTGCCCCCAGCGCCCTCTGGCTGCCCTCGCAGCTGCTCACGGCCAGTGCAGCTTCGCAGCCAGCGTCACCAGATCGCGGCGCTAACGGGCTCGACCACCAGGCCGCCCTCGGCCCGCTTTCCCGTCCCTCACACAGGACACGCCGCCAGAGTGCTGACCGGAAGTTGGATAGGGCCGCGAGGCCTTCTGGGAGCACCTACGCTCTGGGACTTAACGGTCGAGCGCTGCTGTTGGGGGTCTATGGATCTGTCTGTGGGGCTGCTGCGTGTAGCGTCTCGGAAAGGAAACTGCGTTCCGGAGGCCTGGGGCTCGTGGCGCTGCCGGGATCCCTCCGCGGGAAGCGAGGGAGCCGCCCGAGTGATCCGGTTTGCGCCGGCCGCGGGCTGCGAGCTCTCGGGGGGCTCGGAGCACCCCGAGTAAGAGCCGTGCCTCCGGGATGCTCTCCGCCAGCGGAACTGCCATGTGAATGTTTGGAGTTGCAGCCAAAAAACTGGTGTGTGTGTGTGTGTGTGTGTGTGTGTGTGTGTGTGTGATAGAGAGAGACTCTGGTGGTTTTGAGGGGGTGTGGTGATGAGTGTGAGGGTTGTGTACCGTGTACTGGTTCAGGCCCTCTTTGCTTGTCATAACTAGTAATTAACAAAAACGTCCTGTATTTTTTTTAAGGATTCCTCCATTGCCTCTCCGCCTTGATCTTCCCCCGCCCCAACACTTTGTTCTCTAACTTTTCAGTTTTTCTTTTTCTAACTTTCTAAGTTCATTATTATCTAATGGTTTGCTTGGCTTATTTATTTACTTATTGCGGCGTTGGTGTTAAATCTAGCGCTGCAGTCATGCCACGCAAAAGCTCTGAGCTACGTTCCTCGCCCTGAGGTTAGTTTAATAATGGGTTTTTTAAGAGAGAGAGAGAGAGAGAGAATGAGAACGAACTATCTCTAAGCTCAGTAGCAAACATCAGCTGGGATTCATTCTCCAATCACCGTTGTTAGCAGGTTCACTGTTTTTAGCTGATCCCGGCTGCATTTGGGTGAAACGCAGAGCTGCAGGATGAGTTCATATCTGCCCTCCGTTTGTCTTTTCTGGGACAGCGGTTAAAAAGAACTGGTTCTGAAAACATTTTCTTTTCTCAGTGAGTTACTGGATCATTCAAGGGCTCTAAAAACCCCTGCTTCCAAATGTGTCTGTCTTACATGAGCCATAGAAAAGTTGTGTGGGTAAGCTTGTAACCCACTTACAGTCTGAAGATGGTACAGTGTTACCGAAGTCACCATTTTCCTCATTAAGACGCATCAGTCTTAATTTTGGGGCTTACCTTTTAGTCCAAGTGATCTTGTTTGATAATACTACTTTTTCTCTCTTTTTAAAATTGCATTTGTTGAGAATCTTATATTCCAAACCCTTTGTCTTTATGTTTCAGGTTTCTCATGAGAATTGTATCAGCTGAACCTTTTAATTCATTTATCTGGCTGGACTGTTAGTAGGTGAGTTTAATTCTGTTTTATTTATATTTACCATACCCCTTTTTTCCCTCACTGGCTTGGTTTGTGTTCTTCTCCGTGTCTATTTAACAAGACCCACACTTAAATAAGACATTGAAATACTTGACTGCTAAGCCAGCTGGCCATCTCTTTCTGTTATTCTTGGGGAGTAAATCACATTCTCCTCCTTTAAAATTCTCAAGCTGTGTGTGGTGACACACGTCTATAATCCTAGCACCCACGAGGCTAAAGGAGGAGGTCACATTCAAGGATGCTTGCAGCTAATCCAAGGTACAGTGAGACAGACACTGTCTCAGAACCCCGGGGGATAGCCCATATCAGCAGATAATATGCAATATAAAATTGATTGTGTTAATGTTTAATCATATACTCCAGTGACATGGAGTATACATGTTATGTTTTCATCATCACTCCCCACCCACAGCATACTGTTATTAAAGGCTCATAGATGGTTGACTAATATATTTTAATAGCCATTTCACTTATTTATATCTAATATGATTAAGAAGGTTATAATTCTTATTTCAAATGAAAAGCCTTGAAATTCTAAATTCCAGTGCTCTTTTTACCTAAATTATAAATTACCAAAGCAGTTCAGATAGAGAATGGTAAGAGCTGGATTTTTAATGCCGTTCCCTTTACTCTAACATGGGATTTCTATGACTAAGTATTACGAAAACTGCGTTATCATAAGCTTGTGAGATGCACACACGTCACAGCATGCGTGTGGAGGTAAGAGGACATCTTTGGAGCCAATTCTCCCTTTCCTCTTTTAATGAGTTCCAGGAGTAGAATTCAGGTCATCAAGCTCAAGCAATAAGTTTTGTTTCCCAGTGATGCATCTTGCAGCCCTGAGTTATCTGACTCAGCGTTCTCTCTGTCCCTGTGTTCAGAGATGTTTGAGCATCCCTGTGTTTCTAGACTCTAGTTGTCTCTGTTGAGCACTTCATGTAGCCTGAGGCACTGAGGTTGGCTTTTATCTCTGAGCCCACCTGGTTTTTCATCCAGTAACCTCAGCCAGTACTGGGTCTGAGTTGCAGGCAAGGATTAAGTGTTGGGGTCAGTGCTAGTTATCTCTTGCTTTGTGTTCCGTTGTTTGAAAACGTCACATTTTAAACAGCAGTAATCTACTGGAAAATACTGACCGTGGGGGCTGTCTGAGGCTGGCTTTGACAGAGAGCCTGTGAGAACGCATGAGGCAATGTGATTTCTGGTCTGAGCCTACAGGTCCTACCTCCCCCACACTGAGACAGATCTGTGGTATGAGTTTGAAGCCTGAGAACAGGTGTCTGCCATGGGAGGAGAGCTTCTGATCTGAGACCCACACTAAATCTTGAAGAATCCTGGCCAGGGGTGGGCTCTGCACCTGCAGGCCATCCTGACCAGTCCTTCCCAGAGCCAACAAGAACCAAATGACATCTCATCCTTGAAATACCAGCCACAGCTGTACAACATGGAGCAGTTGGCACAGACGATGCCTAGAAGAGGTGAGGTGGCAGAAAGGGCAGAGTGTGGGTTCCTTGGGAGAGCTTGGAAAGCTTGATGCTCCTGTCTTGAAATTTCACATGGGTATTACTGACTGTACAGGATAGACATATTTTATTTTGTTAGCTTGACTGTGTGTGTGTGTTTATAGCTATACATGTGCATGTGTGTAGGCTCACGCATGCTGCAGAGCATGTGTGGAAACCAGAGGACGACTTGTAGATACTGGTTCTCTCCTGGGGATGGAACTCAAGTTGTCAGACTTGAAGACAGGTACCTTCACCTGCCGAGCCGTCTTCCTGGCTCCATCCTTTCATAGAGAATATATTTTAGTATGCTTTAAAAGTGGTGCTAGAAACTAGAAATAAATAGGCCTTTCCTATGCCATCCCTTCTTGTCAGCAACAGCCACTTGAACATTTTTATCTGGGTACTCATTGCCATTTTTCTGAATAACATCTGTATATTGCTAATTTTTGATTTACCAAATGTTTACGCCTTCTATAATTCACATCAGGACTTTTTCTCTTCCTTAGAGAAATACTGTATTGCTGTGTAGTCAGTAGAGTTATTGGACAGTTAACCTCCTGAAAATTCCATCAGTCCTCATGCGTAACTTTAGTGTTACGCGTACGTTTCGGAGGCTCTGGAGATTGATGTGGTACCTAACAGTTCTCGTGATGTTGCAGATCAAATTTCTCGAGGATCTTATAACATCTGGTCATAAAGCTCTCCACATTCCTTTGTCTGGAACTCTAAGCAAATCTGTTTTGCTTCTCTTTCCTCAGCTTGGTGTTCCCAGGACTCTGCACTTTGCCAGGAAGAAGAGGACATGACCAGATCTTTTGTACGTTCTGAACATAATTCCCCCGCATTGTTTTGCAGTACAGTTGTTGTGGGTTACTATAATCTACCACTAAGCTAGGAGAAACGAAATGAGTGGAAGTGAAGAAAAATACAGAGTGAATAACTGAGAGCTGGGGGTGGGGGAGTACGGCTGTGGAGATCTGAGTGCTGCAGAGTTACTCGGGTTGGATTCAAAGTCAGATATTATGGAGAGACTTGAAGTGAACAGACATAAAATCTGTTCTGTAACTTGTAGTTTCTGAGGAAAAAAGCTACTTAAGGAAAGCAAAAGCTTTTTGTTGACACTGAAACCAAAAAATACATTCTAAAATAGTTCCATGATTTTTGTTACTTTAAGCTCAATTTTTACAAGTAAGTCTTGGCTAGAGAAAAATTATATAGAATAGTGTGTAAAACATGCCTACCACTTTAAAATAATCCTACTCATGTTTTTTGTTTGCTTCTCAGTTTGAACTTTTGATAGCAAGTTAAATTATTTGGATATTTTGTGGCATCCTTGCAGTTCTGTTGTTTGTAGCCTTCCAACTCTCCCCCCCCACACACACTCCCCTCTCCCCTCTCTCTTAATAGTCTTAGAAAATGCGATAGTCTTTTATTTGGGGTTTTTTGTTTGTTTTTGTTTTTTTGAGATAAGGTCTTACTATGAAGCTTTGGCTTGTCTGGAGCTTGCTTGTAGAACAGGCTGGCCTCAAACTTAACGGTGCACCTGCCTCTGCCGCTCAAGTGCTAGGATTAAAAGCATGTGCTGCTATGTCCTGCCAGAATAATTTTAAACATTTTTTCCTATATTTATTTTGTGTGGAGTGCAGGCAGCTGTATGTATGCTGCTGTGTAACTGCGCAGCTCAGAGGACGACTTGTTAGAGTTAGTTCTCCTTCACCGTATGGGTCCCCGAGACTGAACTCAGATCATCAGGACTGGTGGCAGTGCCATTACTCACTGGCTCAGTGAGGTGGTCTTGTCTTACAGTGTTATCTCTTTACCTCCACTCTTGATTCTTTCTGTGTTTGAAGTTGTTCATTCCTGTGGTTTGAACATTTTTTTCTTGGCTGCATTTTTCTTCAGCTCTCATCATTGTGAAGCAGACACACACTCCTTTTGCTATATGATCTAGAGCAGAGGTTCTCAACCTTCCTGATGTTGTGACCCTTTAATACAGTTCCTCATGTTGTGGTGACTCCCAACCATAAAATTATTTTTGTTGCCACCACATAACTAATTTTGCTACTGTTATGAATCAAAATGTAAATATCTTTGTTTTCCAATGGCCTTAAGTGACCTCTGTGAAAGAGTCGTTCGACCCCAAAAGGTTCACAGCTCACAGGTTGAGAACCATTGATTTAAAGGCTCATGAGACATTTTTCTCTTGTTGGCATAGTGTTTCTCTAGCCCTAAACAGAGTTAAAGTTGAGATGACCGGTGACTGTAAAGTGCATGACAGTGGATGGAGATGTCTCTTAATTTCTTTGTACCTCAGTTTCATGACCCAGGTGGGAATAGTAATGGGGTATCCCATAAGCATCCAGGGAGTCAAGGGCACCAGTGCTCCAGAGTTGATTGCCATCACTTACTCTCCTCAGCTGTGGAGTCTCTCCTTCCTGGGCTGCCCTTTACATGTGTATAACCTAGAAGATAAAGGAGAAGTTTGACTGATTGGGTTCATACATAGATTTACTTCTTCAGTAAAACCACCATACCTACTATGACAAGGCAAAGCTAGGGATGTTTTCTTCATATCTGTGTATATACATGTATGTACATACATATCACAAACACTAATTCTCAAAAATCAATAATTAAGAAAAATGGACAAAGAAAAAATCGGATCAAGAATTAGAGGAAATGCAAGTGGCCAATAAATACTTAAAATTATGTTATAAAAAGACAATTTAGGCTGGGCAGTGGTGGTACACACCTTTAATTGTAGCACTTGGAAGGCATGGACAGATAATCTCTTGAGTTTGAAGCCAACCTGGTCTACAGAGCAAATTTCAGGACAGCCAGGGCTACACAGAGAAACCTAAACCCTGTCTTGAAAAACAAAACAAAACACAAAAACCAAAATCAAACAAGACAATTTAATAGAAGCAGTTTTTAGGTATATTTCCAATTAGTAAATAGTAACCAGTTTCAGACTCACAGAATTAGGATATAGATGTTGTCCATGGCAGCTCTTAACTGTATGTGACTAGATTACATGCCAGCTAGAAGAATCCTCTTCAGTATTGTCATAGCTTTGTGTTATCCCACTATAAGCTCTGTATAGCTTAATTCACATAGCCATTATCAGAACATTGTGGCAGATGTTATTTTAATTTTTATAGATAAAGGAAGTAAAAATAGGGTTAAGAAGCTTATACAGTCAGGTACCAGTGTGTAATAAACTCAGGTTCAAACCCTTGACTTTAGTGCGCACACTCTAGTGTGGCCCTGAGTAAAGAAGTGCACAGGTTTGCCATTTGGCCTATCCCTATCATTTGTCCTTTTTATTTGTGCCTTAATGAGTCTGTGTTTTATTAAGTTAAAACCCCTGTTACTTGCTGTTAATATGGATTTTTATATATGTATATAAAGGGAGTTAACAAATTAAGAAAATAGACTAAGTTGTAACATAACGTACTGATTGTACATCTTATACGGCTGTCCTGGAATGTAGACTAGGCTGGCCTCCAACTCACAGAGATCTGTCTGTCTCTGCCTCCTGAGAGCTGGAATTAAAGGCTTGTGCCACTGCAACCAGGCCAGTTTGTCTTTTTTGTTTTTTTATGATTTATTTATTATATATACAGTGTCTGTCTGCAAGTATGCCTGCACACCAGAAGAGGGCATCAGATCTCATTTACGGATGGCTGTGAGCCACCCTGTGGTTGCTGGAAATTGAACTCAGGACCTCTGGAAGAGCAGTCAAAGGTCTTAACCTCTGAGCTATCTCTCCAGCCCTCAGTTTGTCTTTTTTAAATTTGTAATTTTTTAAATTTACTGTGTGGAGTTTGTGTGTATGTGGTGTAGGTGGATGAATGTCTGTATGCCACAGGGAGCACGCAGAGGTGACAGGACAACTTTAGGCGTTGATTCTTGGCTTCCACACGTTGAGCAAAGTCTCTTTTTTCTGCTGCTGTGGTGTGTACTCCAGGATAGCAATCCCACAAGCTTCCCCAGATTCTCTTATGTCTGCCTCCCATCTCACCGTAGTAGTGTTGGATTACATGTAGTGATGAGGCGAGCGGGCCGTGTTCCGCCGCCTGGCTAGCTTTACCCGAAATAATTACACAGAAACTGTATTCATTTAAAACACTGCCTGGCCCATTATCTCTAGCCTCTTCTTGGCTAACTCTCACATCTTAACCCATTTCTAATAAATCTATGTATCACCACATGACTGTGGCTTACCGGCAAGATTCTAGCCTATGTCTGTCTCGGGCCGGAAAGCCATGGCGTTTGCCTGTCTCTGCTTTCTTCTTCCCAGAATTCTGTTCTGTCTACTCCACCTATCTAAATTCTGCCCTATCTAAAAGCCAGTTTCTTTATCTGACCAATGAAAGTAACACATAGACAGAAGACCCTCCTACATCATTATAGGTGTGTACTACCACATCCAGCTTTTTGTATGGGATCCAGAGATCAAACTCAGGTTATCAGGCTTGCTCAGCCGTCTCCCCAGCACTAAATTGATTTGTCTTTTATTAAATTTGCAAGAGTTTTTTTTTTCATATCATGTCCAAGGAAACATGGCCTAACCTGACCTCTTGGTTTCTCTAGGCTCCATTGAATGAAGAATTATCTTGGACCAGACATTAAACACACAAACACTAATAAAAATGTATTAAAACCATGTATAGGGCAGATGAAAAGACTGAGCAGACAAGTGTTTGTTGTCATTATAGCTCGGGGTATATCTTGATAGAGTACTCTCTGTAGGTGGAAGTGTCCTGTCTCTGAGTCATTTCCCAAATTAGCACACAGAAGCTTAGTATTACTTATAAATGCTTGACCAATAGATAGGAGTGGGTGTGGCTGCAGTGACTTGCTCTGCCCCATTCCTTAGCTTCCTGAGAGTCTAATTTTGTGTTGGATGTGGGCTGGAGTCACGTTTACCACTCCAACTCTGGGAAGTTTCTGAGTCCACACTGCTTATATGTAGTGTGCCACCCACTGCTCATAAACCCCATGAAATTGTTTGGTGGCAGGGCCTCTTAAAAGAGCCATGCCATTTTTGCTGCTAATGCTAAATCAGGAAGCCATGCCTATCCTATAAAAAGCAGTCACTCAGAAGCCAAGTTTGACTCCATTTGTGTGTGTGTGTGTGTGTGTTTAGAATCATTTTTAAAGCTTTCAGGCTTTATGTGGAAATTCTTGCCTAACTTTTGGGTGCCATGTGTAGGTGGAAGTTTCTGTCCCACAGGCAGCTTCCCAAATTACCACGTAGAGGCTTAATATTACTTAGAAATATTACAGTAGCTCAGGCTTATTATTAACTAGCTCCTACATTTTAAGTTCCTTATTTATGCTCTGTCACATGATGGTACCTTTCTCATTACTGCATGCCCATCTTGCTTGCTCTGTGTCTGGCTGACATCTCTTTACCCTGCCCTCCTCCTTCCCATCATCCTTAGTCTGGTTGCTCTGCCTTTATTTCTTACCCGGCTACTGGCCAGTCAGCATTTTATTAAACCAATTTGAGTTACAAATCTTTACATTGTACAAGATCATTCCACAGCAGCCCTCCTGTCTCTATCTCTGAAACCCACATAGTGGAACTTAAAAGTATCAAATGCTCATGATGTTCTCCACCATAGATAGACAGCAAAAAGTAGTGCTCACATAGTCTTAATTATTTGGTGCCCTGCTCAAAGACTGTTAAAATCACCAAGCAGGTCCACTCGTGTTAGATATCTATAAGAAATAAAACTTCAGTGACAGGGTGTGCTTTTTATTATCAGTGTAAAAGAAGAAAGGGCGACTGACTTAAAACTACTGTGAGAAGCTAACACAGCACTCTGCTTTGATGGATATTTTTGAAGGTCTCAAAGTGTTCATCAGATATTTTGTTCTAATTTTACTCTTAGTGTGCTTCATTCTTGAAAGTAGTTTCTCAGAAGCTGGAGAAAGCAGCTAAGAGTACTTGTTACTCTTATAGGGGACAAGTTTCAATTCCTAGCACCGACATGGAAACTCTGACATCATTAATTTCAGTTCCAAGGGATCCAGCGGGCATGCATGTGCTGCATATACATGCGTGCAGACGAAACATTCATGAACATAAAATTTAAAATAAAATTATAAAAACAGAAGCCATTTCTTTAATTAAATTATAGTTTTGTTTGTATCAGTGTCTCCCATAAAGGTGGCCCATAGAGCCACCTGGGTAGGATCAGCCCTGCCACCTACTGCTGAAGTGTACAGCTTCAGGCTAGCAGCTCTGCTCTCCAGGCTTGTTTGATAGGCGTGCCAGTGTCTTCATTCACCTGCTGTAGTCTGACGAGACAGACTGACTTTAGAAATAGCCCTTTTTTCAGGCCTGAGCAACAGTCTCCCCATGTTGCCTAATGACACCCCTTAGTAAATTGTCTGTCTTTGTTATTAGCTGGCTGCCATGTAACTAACTAGCTTTTACAGTAGGATCCGAGATAGAACTTGAACATTATTTATTAGTGCACACAGAGGACAACTTTTGGGAGCTGATTTTCCCATCCTACTGTGGGGGCTTGAACTTTGGTTGTTAGGTTTGTATGACCAAAACAAAACAACAACATCAAAAAAAACCAGTCATTTTCCCAGCCCTGAGTTGTAATTTTAAAAATAAATGTTGAAAAGATGGGCTGTTTTCCATGCTACTATTTTCAGCCCAGAACACAGTTCTTGAAAACCATGGAATTTGGCAACATGTTTTGCATGTGATGCCCTTTATATAGTGCCTTCTTAAATTAAAGTCTTTGCACTTACAGAGGTTCCCTACAGAGTAATAAAAATATAGTCACCTACTGTTTTTTGTTGAACAGTCTTGCTTCAGCTATAGCCTTTTTGTTGGTTTGTTTTTTGTGATGTTTTAAAAAAACATGTTGGGGTTTAAAGGGGAGGTATTTACTTTCATTATGCAAATTAACAGGAAAATACAAAGCAGGGTTTGGACCCTCCCTACTGTCATCTGGTGTGTAGCAGATTTGAGGTCAGCCTGGACTACAGGAGACCCTTTCTAAAACAATAAAAATGACTCACTATATTTGTTACATGCTCTCTTTAAACTCTAAGATTACTGAGTGTATCTTATTCTTGATTTAGGTTTGACAAATGTTTGTTTAATTTATTGAAAATATTAAGATTTTTACAAATAAGATACATAAGAATACAGATATATGTAAGTACACTTATAGCCTTTTAAAGTGTAAGATTAATTTATTTTTACATTGTCAGTTCTTAAATACCAAGTATTTGCACTAAAGGTTTTCCTCCTTTGAGCATTTTACTTACTGTTTTATATCTGTGAGTGTTTCTTCTGCATGTGTGTCACCTGTGTGTGGTGTCCCGGGTCTGGAGTTAAAGAGGGCTCCGAGTCCCATGTAGGTGCTGGGAAGTGAACGTAGGCCCTCAGAGGAACAACCAGTGTTCTTAACTGCTGAGCCATCTCTCCTCCGTCCCAGCTGAAGGGTTTTGTTTTTGTTTATTTCATTGTTTGATTTTAATTATTCCTTCATTCCCTCAGTCTAGAATCTCTTTTAGTTTTCATTTTGAGATCAGGTTTCCCTACATTGTCCAGGTTGGTCTTTATCTTGGCTTCATGTGTAATTACAGAGATAGGTCAAAATCTTCAGTAGTCTTGTGAGCCTTTAATGAGTTTGGTTGGTCCAATTTTGGGCAGCAGCAGCAAGAATGTTTTATGTGTACATTTGTGATGCAATGACTGCACCCCAAATGACTACCGCACCAAAGTTTTCCATGTCTGGTTTATCAGTCTTCTCTGCCAGTTCAGACTGTGTGCTGCAACACTCAGCTTTCATGGATGAGTCCGTGTTTTCCATGAAGCCCCGGCAGTAGAAAGGTTTTCAGGTCCAGGAGTTCTTGAGTGTCCAATTGACATCTTAAATTGCATTATTTGTGGCATTCAGAGACCCTCCCCTCTGATTTAGAGAGAAAGCATTGCATGATGGGTAAAAACCTGTAGCTCTGCAGCCACATCGCTTGAGCTAGAATCCTGGCTCATATCCCTATGAGAGCCTTGTGATGGGTGCATTACTTTTAGCTACGGTACTCTTGCGTTTTAAATACTGTTAATACCTACACATAGCCTTGTTAGGAAATTTTTAAAAGTTAATATGCACCTGGGTGTGGTACTGATCGCCTTTAATCCCAGCTCTCAGGAGGCAGAGGCAGGTGGATCTCTGAATTCCAGGCCAACCAGACTTACACAGCAAAACTGTCTCAAAACCAAATAAAGTTAATATGCCAAGAGAAAGTCCAACATTGCCTCCATGTCTTAAATATGCTGTAGATGATCGTAATGCCAGTCAGTGTTGACGACAGGAATAGTCTAATTCCTAGAAGTGTTTTTTGAAGCCCAGCCCTTTTGTAGTTGTCATTTATGTCATCACATTTTACTGCTGAGTAAATTCTTCCCAAAGATTGGCTATGAGGATGTTTTTCTTTCTTACAGATTTCTCAAACAAAATATTTTCCCTTTTTACGTGGGTATTAGACATTTTAAATAATTTCAAAGCAAGAACTAGTCATCAAGTTGCTTTCTTTTCCAGAAATACTTCATTTGTTTTTTATTTCCATTATGCTATTATCATAGTATTATTTCTAATATGTTGATTGTAAATTAAAACTTGTGTCTCTTACTTGAATATTTCATTTGGTTCTCTGTAGTCCTGTTAGCACAATATTACATGCTTCTTTAGCCATTCACACTCACTGGCCATGGAGTTAGCTTCCAGGTCTAGGTTGTGACTCACACGTTCTCTTCTTCCATCCTGTGTCTGACTTCATGCTGCACATTTTATCTGGACGTCTTCTAGGAATTCAAATATTCATGCCTTTTCTTCTTGCCTGCTTCTTTCTCTCTCCCTTTACTCTGCCCAGTTCCCTTTCTCACTAAAACCTAACCACTGTCAGGTCTGAACTACTTACTCATCCCTGTCACAGTAAAGAGTCACTGGGTGCTGCTGTCAGCTAATAAAGGAGGATGGAGAGTGCTCGCTGAGTCAGTGACCACAGACTCTTAGAGGTACTGTCACTGTGGTGTCTTACCCCGTTAACACGCGGACACTTGGTAAGGGTGAAGACTTCAAAACCAATTTTTAACAAGCTTTGACCCTGTTTACTAGCTAATGAATTCTTACTTGTTTTGATCACAAGCCCTAATTTTGATGACTTTAGATTAAGTGGGATTATGTTTTTATAGAAAACAGTGACATTCGAGGACGTGGCCGTGGACCTCACCCAGGAGGAATGGCAGCAAATGAAACCTGACCAGAGGAGTTTGTACCGAGATGTGATGCTAGAGACCTACAGCAACCTAGTAACCGTAGGTAAGGGAGCTGTCTACTTACTGTGGACTTCCTCCCTCTGCAGTGTGTGCCTCGCCTGTGCTCTGACCTTGAGGGTTGATACTAATAACTGTGTCCTTGTGCAAGTTCCTTGATTCTCCTCCTTCCTACGTCCTCAGGACCCCAGGACTCAGCCCCAGATCTGTATGATTGTCTCCAGCACTAACATGCAAGGTCTTTCCTGTCTCTGTAATAGGTGGTCCAATCCCCAAACCAGATGTGATCTTGAAGTTAGAGCAAGAAGAGGAGCCCTGGGTGGTGGAGGAAGAGATGTTCTGGAGACGCTCTGCAGGTGAATACGTGAGAAGTAGCTCTGAGTGTGGAAGCCACATGACAGTTGTCAGTGAGGATTGCTTCCATTTCACATTTCCCAAGACTGTGTTGTCTGTAAATGACAAAGGCTATGTGACGTACTGTTTGTTAGGTTGTGTGACATTTCTATTCTAGGAATGACTCTGCCCTATTGGAGTTATGTTCTTTAATTTTTGAGGGGCAGTAACCCATGTGATTTCAGGATATGGGCGTTCTGGTGTATTTACCTTTATGATTTTTGTACCTATGTTTGATCTTCACCCCCTCCCTCATGTTCATAGTTTATTTCCTTACATATTCAACATTTCGTGGAGTGTGATATTTTAAAATCAGCTTTATTTTATAATGGGTTTCCTTTAATTTTTGGCTTCACTAGCCCCATGGTTGAGAAACTTTTAAGTTCCTAGCTTAGGAATGCTGTGGTGGCCTCTTCCTGCTTTCTCACTTCTTCCCTTGAATGTTTTGAAAATAGAGCATTTGCCTACTTGGTTAAAAATGGAACCATCCAGAAGATACATTTAAACAGTGTCCTTTGTTTCTGCAGTTGCATTCACTCTTGTCTTCAGAGCTCTTGTTTATTTTGCATGTATGTTATAGATTTAACTGTCTTATTTGGAGGAAACCATACTGAATTTTCCTAGGACTGTGCTGGACTTATGAGTTAACTTTAGCAGTTTATCAAGCTCTTGTTTTCTTTCTATCTACTTTGAGAAATGGAACTTTCTAAATTTTCTTTTGTAGATCATGTAAATTGTTTGTTAGGTTTACCTAAGCTTTTGACAAGAAAGAAAAACAAGTTCTTTTAGAACTAAAGAGGGATGCTTGGTGGTCGTGGCACATTTGAATTTACAGATACTGTATCCCTGAAAAATGCTAGACCCAACTAAAAAAGTATGCCACATTGTACAAGAGTCCAATGAGGTGCTAGGAATGTCTGTAACACATAAAAGCAGCTTTCATAAATATTTCACAACTAAGTGGATATAAATGAAAGAATGAACATTATAGTAATAGCAGTAAAGAGAAAATACTGTTTGGAGCATGGGCATGTAACTGCACAAAACAAAATCTACATGGGGCTTAGAATTTAGAGGATTTTTGTTTGTTGTTTGTTTTCTTTTGTTTGGATGAGTTTTTTGGTTTCTTTGTTTTAAGGGTGAATCTCTATAGAGAACCCCATGCTGCCATTGAAATTCCTTGAAGTTGTGATTCTTCTGCCTCTCCATTCAAGTGCTGTGTTTTTGGGGTGCTGGGGATCAAACCGAGGGCTTTGTCCATGCTGGGCAAATACTCTACCAACTGAGCCACATCCCCAGCCCAACTAGAGAAATGACTCAGCAGTTACAGAGGACCTGAATTTGGTTCCCAGCACCCACGTGGCAGCTCACAGCCATCTGTAACTCCAGCCCCAGGGGTTCTGAAACCCTTTTCTAGATTGTTGGGTACCTACGTGCATGTGGTACACATACCAATGCACATAAAAATATTAAAGATATCAGGAAAATACCTTTTTAAACTATTATATTTGACAAGATTGTATCTAAAGTTTTTAAGCCATGCTCTTTCCCAAACAAAGGCTTACTGTATTTTCTGTGAGCTTTAGGCAATTCTGTGTTATTTTCTACATTTAAATATTGTTGGAAAAGAAGCTTGGTTGCTTTGTGTCATAAATCACTTGTTCTGTTTGCCCATACAAGTAAACCAGGGTTTACAGGTGAAGGCTGCTTTGTTGTATTTTCTTTAAGGCTCTAGAAGTCTTGCCAACTATGATCAGTGTTTCCTTTTGACTTGTGATTCTTCTGTCCTTTGTCCGTTTGTTTGCTTTGTTTCTAGTGTTAGGAGTCAGCTTCCCCTTGTGTATTCTAAGCACAAAACACCAAATAGCTCCCCCAGCCCAAAGATTCATGGTTTTGTTTTTTATGCTGTTATATATATATATATATATATATATATATATATATATAGATAGATATATATATGTTTTTTGATTATCATTGTTCATCCTTAAATGGAGGTATTTTCTACTGGATCCACTACAAAAAGGAATAAGAAATGTACTGAGCTAATAATAGGAAATCTTTGTGCTTCGTAGTGACCATGCAGTCAGGTTCAAAGTTGGGTTATCCATTGCCCCAAGCTGCAGAGATTATCATTTTCATGCTTCCTTTGGTGTTCAAAGTCCCGCTCACCCTCCTGTGCCAGTAGTCTATTAAAGTAGAATAAGGTTTATCTGCATCTACTTACTCAGCTATGCCTTCCTTGCCATTTGTCAGGACCAAGTGAAGTCCACTAGGTTCCTTCTACCAATGTCAACACACCTGGATCTCAGAGTTGCATGACACATTTACGTTTTGCAGGACTCTCTTCCCTGTATATCTCATCCAAAATAAGAATTAGGTCTTGACTTCTGGGATTCTTCTCTCCCTTGACCCACCCATTTTCTGTTTTTTTTCCTTATATTCTTGAGTTAAAGTTTCATTGAAGATGTATTTATTATTCTGTACTCTGTTTGTAGGGTAGTGGAGACAGGTGTTTATAACCACCATAAGCCTGGGAAGGCCTGTGTTTATCAATCCCAAGGCCATTTTGTGCTTGGTCTGTGACATAATTGAAATACCCTGTATTCCCTTGTGCAGCATTGCTTTGTAAGCTTCCTGCTGACCTCTCCCCGCTGTATGATAGCTTTCTGCTGCTTTGTCCCCTTTCCCCTGCGACCATATAGAAGATGCTCCACTGCTTAATAAACGTCCTGGCATGAGCCATCAGCTTACACAGTCCTCCTGACCCCAGCATTTTGTCCTCTTATGTTCTCATTCCTGCTTTTCCTCCTTGGCACCACAGTTGAGGTTTAAAGCAGGTCTGAATTTCAAGTGACGCGGAGTTGACGGCACTGCAGAGGTGTGGAAACCATAGGATGAGCTGTTAGCAGCTGCAGCCAGAAAACCAGTGAGTGGAGATGGTTGGCTCTTGATCGCTTTATACTTTAATTGGAAATGTGGCTTATTCATTAAGCATATATAAAAATAAATTATAACTAGATAGTTGACATTCTCTTCATATTTACTAAAAGTTTTGGATTGGAATTTAGTTTGGACAACCTGAATCTTCAGATGCTTTCATAATTATTACTTTATGAAACTAATAGACTTTGGGTATATAGAATGAACAGATTTACCAGGATTCTATGATAGTTCATGTAGGCAAAAGTAATGAGAACTTGTGGTTTCATGTTTCTTGATCTAATGGAGATGTTGTTTTCCTTTTATATAGTTTATTTCAGTATGTGTGTATGTGTTTGTGCACATGAGTGTGAGGGACACAGGACAATATCATCCTCAGAATTGCTATCCACTTCATTTAAGACAGAGTGTGTCATTGGCCTGGAACTTGCCAGTAAGGCTAAACTGGCTGGCCATTGAGCTAAAAGGATCCTCCTGTTTCCATGTGAATGTTGGGAATTGAACTTGGGTCCTCCTGCTTGTAAGGAGAACTAAGCTATCTCCTTGGCCCGATTTCTCTGTATTTTAATATGCATTTTTAGTTTTCTCCAAAGTAATACTTGTAGTTGTTTTAAGAAAGTCAATAGAAATACAGATCTTGCCAGCCTGGTCTATAGACTGAGTTCCACAACAGCCAGGACTACACAGAGAAACCCTGTCTCAGAAAACAAACAAACAAACAAATTTTATAGTGGTATCCTATTCTAGCCTTATCTTTCACCTCCTTTGGTGAAATAATTTTTTAAAAAGGTAATGAAGATTTTCATGCTTTTTTGAGTACTAGACTGTACTGGTTAGATCAGAACCCAGAAGCTATGTTAATTGTCTCAAGTACCAGTATTTATAAGTCTTTTATTTCTAAACTTTCTTATGTCCTACCTGGAGGTACAGCCTTTAGGACACTAAGGGTTGGAGGTCTCACAATTCAGTATATAAATGTTCATATAATTCCTACTTTTTTGTTAACATGTATCCTTCTATATCTGCTTGCTTCTAAGTCTAGAGTATCTTTGGTTCATTTTCTCTAGAAATAAGCCTTTTTCTTGCCTGGGTTGTAAAGAACCAATCATGTTCTTGTATAGATAGTTAAGTGGTAGTATAGTCAAGTCCAGTTATAGCAAAGGAGATGTAATAGCTGCTATTTAAGGATGTGTGAGGATATTAGATGGCTCACAGAGCTTGAGAAGGACCAAAGGGGCTGTAGTCTGTGCATTTCCAGGAGTGAGTCACAATGGGTGTCTATAGGAGTGAACTGCTGAAGGCGTTCTTCTCGGAAAATAATCAAGGAAGTGCTTGCAGTTGAACTGAAGAAATGCTTTCCACTGTGAGTGCTTGCTGCCTGTTTTGGTCTCCTAAAAAAATGTCCATCTCCTCACTTAGTTCTGAATCTAATGTTCATGTTTGCAGGTGACAGTTCTGTCAACTGCATGTGAACCCTACATGCAGTTGTGCTTAGGAAAGGTAGTTTGAACTGCTTCATCCTTTTTGGAAGATTGAAACATCTTGTGGTTGGAAGAGATGTTATTATACTTAAGCAAATCTATATCGTCTGTCTCAGGCATCTAATTGCTCTCTATTCAGATTTTAAAATCTCTTGTTTTTAGTGCAAGTTTTGCCCTATCTTTTTCTTTAAAATAATAATAAACTTAGATTTTTTTAATTCACTGGGGCAGATATCAAGGAGTGTGGTTGCTGAATCATATGTAAAAATATTATTTAATTTTGCTGCCTAGTGAGATGGCTCAGGGCATTAAGGTCTGTCAAGCCTGACAACCTGGGCCCAATCCCTGGATCACATTATGGAAGTAAAAAACTGACTCCTGCAAGTTGTCCTCTGACTTCCTCATGCCCCCTCCCTCAAATAAATAAATAAGTAAATAAAAAGTAGTAAAAAATTATTTTAAAATGTATTTAATTTTGAAAGAAACTTCTGGATTATCTTTAAAGTGAATGTGGCATCTTGATTCCCAGCAACAGTGTCTGTGAGTCCCTACTGTGCATCCTTGTCAGCTCTGGAGATGTCTGTGTTTAAGATTCCTGTACTAGCTGCTTAGTGTATGCCTTTGATGTTTTAATTTGCAGGAACCTCCCCAATCACATACAGTGTTGAACATGGTTACATATGCTTAGTGACCATGTCTTTATATTTATTTAAGTAAGGCTTTTGTTCAGGTTCCTGTTTATTTGTTTGACTGGATGCTTTGTCCTGGGGGTAGGGGAATTTCTTTGTTTTGGGTACACCGTGAGTCGCCATATAACCCTGGCTGTCCTTGATCTTCCAGTCTTCCTGCTTTGCCCTCCAGGTGCTGGAATCACAGACTTGTACAGCCACACCTGGCAAGGTTTTGTTTTTGTTTTTAATGTTAAAGTTTGTGTTCTCTGCATATGTCAGTGATCTTATGACATATTCTTCTGCAAGTACTTAGTATTCTAGCCTTATCTTCTCACTTGCTTGATGGAGTCTTTTGTACAGAGGGAGTTTTTAAATTTTCCTGAAGTTCAGCCTACTTTTTCATTGATCAGGCCTTTTCTTGTCCCCGCTCTCTCCAGCCCACCACCGCAACCCAGACTTTGTCCTATGTTATCTTCTGTTAGTTTTAGAATTTTGTGCTCGACACTTAGCTCTCTGGTTTGAATTTACTTTTTTTTTCTTTTTTTATGAATGAGGCAATTTATTAACCTAGCATCCTTTATCCTAATGCTTCTTGTTGGCAGCTGCCACCTGTCCAGCAATCCTGTCCAAATCTCTCTGTCCCTGAGGTGTTAGCTTGCGGCCCCCGTCCTGGTCCTTTTCCACCATTTTCAGTCCCTCCAGGGTTTGGAGAACGCAGCGGGCCACACTCTTGGAGCCTCTGCTGAAGTGGCTGGGCCTGACACCGTTTCTCTGCCGTCCTCCATAGATCTTGGTCATGGAGTCAACCCCGGCACCACACGGGTACAGGTGCCGTGCTGTAGAGGCAGCTTGCGTGTGGAACCAGTTCTCATCATAGGGGGCAAGCTCTTCATGTTTGGCCACCTTGACTGTGTCCACCCATTCGGGGACTTTCAGCTTCCCGGACTTTTTGAGGAAGGCTGCCAGAGCTCTGACGAACTCCTGCTGTTTAACGTCTTTTACAGTAACTCCAGGCATTGTGCGGACGACGGGGTTTCCCGGGGCGCACAAGTCGGGCGTTGAGTCTCCTTGAGTTACTTTTTGTGAAAACTTTTTATCTAGGCTGTTTATTTGATGCAGATGTTTAGTTATAGTGACTCTGTTTGTTGAAAAGGCTATCTATGACTATTTCCTTTGCTCCTTTGTCAAAGATTAATTGACGATATTTAATTTGAGTCTGTTTTCTGAGTTCTTTATCCTGTTCCATTGTTGTCTCTTCCCCTGCTTCCAGACTATATGATTGTTAGAACTTACTAATAAGTCCTGAAGTCAGGTGGTATCTATCTCACTGTCTTTCTCCTCTAATACTGTGTTCTCTCTTCTGGGTGTTTCACCTTCATGTGAGCTTTAGAATCAGTTTGTTTCTGTATGTGAACAGAGTAAAGTGCAAAATGAGATTACTTTGAACCTGGGAATCTAATTAAGAGCTAATATGCTGAATGCTGAATCTTCGTATCATCACTATTCAGTATTCACTCTTCTTTAATTTTAGTAGTCAGAGTTTTGTGGTTTTCTCTTTATAGATCTTGTACATCTGTTATTAGATTTGTATTTCTTTTGAGGAATACTAATATAAATAGTGATGTATTCTTAATTCCAGATCCTGTTTGTTTGTTACTGATAAGCAATTTAGTTTTGCATGTTTACCTTGTGTCCTGCCACCTTTTTAATAATGATTGGTCACAACAGGTTTTAGTTGTTGATTCTCTTAGATTTTCTGCATGGATGACCACGTTGTCTTTGAACAGTATTAATGCTGCTTTTTCTGTCCCTCCAATTTGTACATCTTTTATTTCCTGTTCTTATCTAACTGTATTAGCCAAGAGCTCAGTGTGCTGTAGAAAGGTGGTAAAAAGGAGCGGCCGTACCATTTTCCTGTTGAGTTCATGGTCTTGTCATGTCATCCTCATGATACTTTTGCTGTAGCATGTTACATGTGCTCTCCAGCCAACAGTCCTCTGCCTGTTTTCATCGTGTACAATCGTCTTGAAATCTTTTGTCTGTTGTATATTCCTTCCCATTTCTCTTACCTTTAAGCTCTGACCTGTTTTTGGAAAGGAGGAGAAGTAAACTTACACATTTAGTCTGGCCCACTGTCTTTAACCACAAGTACTAATTTTTTATCTTATTGCTACTTGACTCCGTATCTAAGTCCTTTATGTGTTTACCCTTTCATTTTCATTCCATTCATTGTGCCGATTTCTTCATTATTGTATATCCTTGTATATAATCAGTGCTACTTAGATCTACAAATGTCAGGTTGTTGTTTTCCCATAATATTGTCTGTAGGTGTTAACTTCATCTCTAAGAACTAGGGGGCATTTGCAGTTTAGTTTCTTTTTTATTGGTGACTAAACCAATAAAAAAGATTCAACACCACATTAGCAAATTTCTAAATTGTTATGAATAGTTTAGTGATAGAAAATTTCACAAGTAATGATTTTTGGTCCTCCATTTTAGAAGTTTGGGAAGTTGATGGACAGATGGAGAAACAACAGGAAACACTTGTGAGGAAAGTCACATCCACCTCCGAGAAACCTCTGATTAAGGAAAATGTCATTGACTGTAAAGAGGTTGCAGAAATCTTTCTTCTGAGCTCAGATGTTGTTCCTTCAAGACAAAGCCTCTATGATCGTGACTCACTTAATAAGTGTGTGGAACAAAACTTAGATATTCTTAGTTATAATAAGGTTTGTGTAAGAGACAATAACTTTGAATGTAGTAAGTATGGGGCTCCATTTTATCATTGCTCACCCTGTGCCATAGCTCCCTTTAAATGTGATCACTGTGGACAAGACTTCACTCATAAACTTGACCTCCTCAGACATGAGAGAAATCATGCTGGAGAAAAACCTTATGGATGTAAAGAGTGTGGAAAGTCCTTTAGCAGGAAGGAAAATTTCATTACGCATCAGAAAATCCATACTGGGGAAAAGCCATATATGTGTAAAGAATGTGGAAAAGCTTTCATTCAAATGTCTAACCTCATTAGACACCAAAGAATTCACACTGGGGAGAAACCTTACGCTTGTAAGGATTGTTGGAAAGCTTTCAGTCAGAAGTCAAATCTCCTTGAACACGAGAGGATTCACACTGGAGAAAAACCCTATGAATGTAAGGAATGTGGGAAATCCTTCAGCCAGAAGCAAAATCTTATTGAACATGAGAAAATTCACACTGGGGAGAAACCTTATGCGTGTAATGAGTGTGGTAGAGCTTTCTCTCGAATGTCCTCTGTTACTCTGCACATGAGAAGTCACACAGGGGAAAAGCCCTATAAATGTAATAAATGTGGAAAAGCTTTCTCTCAGTGCTCAGTATTTATTATGCATATGAGAAGCCACACAGGTGAGAAGCCTTATGTATGTAATGAGTGTGGAAAGGTCTTTTCGCAAAGTTCTTCCCTTACTGTACATATGCGAAATCATACTGCTGAGAAGCCCTACGAGTGTGATGAGTGTGGGAAAACCTTCAGCCGGAAAGAGAATCTTATTACACATCAGAAAATTCATACTGGAGAGAAACCTTATGAATGTAATGAGTGTGGGAAAGCTTTTATTCAGATGTCAAATCTCATTAGACATCAGCGAATTCATACTGGTGAGAAACCCTATGCATGTACTGTATGTGGGAAAGCCTTTAGCCAGAAGTCCAATCTTACTGAGCATGAGAAAATTCATACTGGAGAGAAACCTTATCTTTGTAGTCAGTGTGGAAAAGCCTTTAGTCAGAGACAAAATCTCCTTGAACATGAAAAAATCCATACTGGAGAGAAACCATTTAAATGTAATGAGTGCAGTAAGACCTTTTCTCGAGTCTCATCCCTTACTCTTCATATGAGAAGTCACACGGGGGAGAAACCTTATAAATGTGATAAGTGTGGAAAAGCCTTTGCTCGATGTTCATTACTTACTATACACATGAGAAGTCACACAGGTGAGAAGCCCTTTGAATGTAATACATGTGGGAAGGCCTTTGCTCAGAGAGCATCCCTTTCCATACATAAGAGAGGCCATACAGGCAAGAAACATTCTGTACTAAATGAGGCAATGCCTTATCTATGCAATGCCTTATTTACTTGAAATGTCTGATGTAAGTGCAAAACCAAGATCTCTTTGGAAAAATAACAAAACTTTGGAGTTTATGAGCAAATGCAGAGAAATATGTATATAGATAAATACAGCGTAATAAAATTTTCAATTCTGAGAATCTGTAGATAATACAGTTCCAAATAATTGCATAATATTTTTCTATAATATTTTACAAAGTGATACTAAAATTCACATGAAATAGAAGTGTAAACCAGGCATAGTGATGCTTGTCTAAAATTCCAGCATTTGGATGACAGGAAGATTGCCACAAGATTGAGGCCAGCCTGGTCTACATAGACTTTGTCTCAATAAATAAATAAAAGTCCATGAATTGCTGAGATGATTTTAGAAAAAGAATGGTATAAGCATACTTATTGTAATCTTTATACTGTGGAGATCGAGTCACGGGAATCTAGAGTTTGAGGTCAGCTTGTGCTACATAGTGAGATCCTATCTCAAAACAAAACAAAAGTATAATCCTAGTAGTACTTAGACTAGCACTCTTTATAATATATGCTAAATTTACAGCCACTTCAAAGTGTATAGTATAGGAACATAATTAGGTGGGTGAACAGGTTATAGAGTGCTCAGATACAGAGCTGTGGAAATATGTGAACTTGGTGTTTGTCAGACATGAAATTATGAGTTGGCAAAGAAAGAATAATCTAGTCATTTGTTTCTGGAATGTTTGACTATTGGAGAAAATTAAAGTATAAACATTACTGCACTATAAACACTTCCAAAGGATTTGACCTTGAAACCATTGGATGCTGATGAGTATGATGGTGCATGTATCCTAGTGCTTGGGAGGCAGAGACAGGAGGATGAGGAGGTCAAAGCCAGCTTTGACTTCAAAGCAAACTGAGGTAAGCCTGAACTACATAAGACTATCTTGGGGCTGGAGAGATGGCTCATTGGTTAAGAGCACTGGCTGTTCTTCCAGAGGTCCTGAGTTCAATTCCCAGCACCCACATGGTGGCTCACAACCATCTACAATGGGATCTGATGCCCTCTTCCGGCACACAGGTGTACACTCAGAGCACTCATACATAAAATTAAATAAAGTTAAAAAAAAACTATCTTTAAAAGAAAAGAAAAAAACGCAGACTATTTGTCTATAACTCGAAGTCAAAAGAGTCAGTTTTGAAAAAGTAAAAAGATACAGTTCTAGTTCAGATTATTTTCATTTCTGTCAGAGGCTCTAGAAACTTGTAAATAATGAAGAGGAAATACATGCATATGAATTGAAAACCTGGATGCCCAGCAGTGGGCTAATGGATGAATAGAATACAACCTATCCCAAGGGTGGAATGGTGTGTAGTAGTTAAAACAAGGGGATTCATAGTGTGTAGCAGAGGTAGTTACCTAAAACAGTGTGGAGTGAAAAATAAGATGCCATGCAACATACTGTTTACTTTATCCATGTAAGTCTCAGTGAAACCCTTTACAAAGAATAGAACTGGGTTTTTGAAATTTATTGACTAGAAACTGGTTTTAGTGAAATTTTTATATATGTATGTATATAAAGTTATTTAAAATTGGTTAGAAAGATTCATGCTAAGACCTTTTTAGTTTTGTCTTTCACAAGGCATTGGGACTGAATGTGGGGAGGGTGTTCTTGGGAAGGGGCCTTTTTTGTCTTTAAAGAGACTAATAGAACATAAAATAAATCTTAAAAGTTAGTGACACATGGTAGTAATATGACTTGTCTTTTTTATATAATATCAAAATAGAACAATTCATGCAAGACACCTGAGTAGAGACTCCCTTTAAGCAAAGAAGCCATGACACACAATGATTCCTTTTTTCCTCCCAGGTGATGGTGGTGTTTCCTAGTTATTCTCATATCAACTCGCTAAGAGAAACTTGTTCCTGTTAAAAAAAAAATTCTATAAATATAGGATTCACATGCTCTTTCAGATGCTGAACCATTTTATCTGAAATATTTCCATATGCCTCCCAACATCCCAGAGCCAACGCAGAGGGATTAAGATTTTGAAATCATTCTGCCTCCATAGTGAGACCCTGACTCAAAAAACAAACTTTGTCTTGAGGGAACAAATTAGTTGGTAAAGCCCATCTCTTCCAAACATGAGTACCTGAGTTTGATCCCTCCCCCCCCCCCCCCCCCCAACAAAAGATAAGGCTTAGTGGTTCACAATTGTAATCCCAGCCTTGGGGAGAGACAGTCAGATCCCTGAGCCCTGCTAGCCAACTAACCTAGCCTATTCGGCAAATTCTAAGCCAGTTAGAAATCCTTTGCCCCTGCTTCCCCAAAATGAATGGCTCCTGAGGAATAACACCCAAGGTGTCCTGTGACCTCTCTGACCTCCATACAGATGTGCACACACTGAATACACACAAATACACATACCCACACAATCCTTGGAATGGTACTATATACTAAAAATTTGAAGTTAGTGTGTTTTATTCTTTGATATTTTGTTTCACATTTAACATTTTTGGTATTTGGATTCATCTTTCAACCAGTGAAGTATTAAATCCAAGTAAGTTTTTATTGTGGCATTGGAAATATAAACTCAACATTAATAGATGTACGATTGTTATTTTCTTTGACAAAGTGCTAAGTAAAGCGATTGTTTATTTGGACAGCTGCTCGACCCTGAGCCATATATATCCAATCTTTTATTAAATTCATCTTTGAAGCAGTGATGTCTTAGGTTAAGGAAATCTGTATCATAAGTTATTTACTTATTCGTTTGAGGCCAGGTCTCATGTTTCACAGTCTGTCTTCAACTTCCTTTGTAGCTAAGGATCAGTTTGAACTTCTGATCCTCCTTCCTTGCCACCTCCCAAGTGGCTGAGAATATGCACCACCCTGCCTTGCTTATGAATTGCTGATTCTTAAACCCAGGGCTTTAACTGAGCCACATCCTTAATCTAAATTATCCCAAGTTTGAAAATCTGAAGTTAGTGTAATGAAAAATGTGGTTTTTATTTCTTTGTGATGTTTTTGTATGTATGTGTGTAGTACTAGGAATTGAAACACTGCTCCTTCTCACTACGTCCTCTCCTTTGCTTTTCTCAGACAGGTTTTCATATGCAGCTCAGCATTGGCATTGAGCTCTGATCCTTCTCCCTCAGCCTCCCAAAGTATTGAGCTCATAGGCATTGCTACTGTGCCCAGCTGAAAAGGTGTTTTATACTGGTACATACCCCTCTCTCGGTCTGCCGTTATTCCACTAAGAATTTGCTAGGCTCTTAACTAATTACTAATGTCTTTAGCATCTTACAGAAATAATAAGATGTTCTAGGGAATTTGCTTTGTGATATTGGTGTTCTAACTCTGTGATTTTGCATATGGTTAACATAAACATTAATTTCATTGTTAATATATTTTGAAATGAGGAGCCTTTTTTATTGGGTGGCTATACACAATTTATTTGTTCAGTTTTAACCTGCAACCCATTTACACCCTTTCAAAACCATTGACTTACAGGTTTATCCAGTTTTGGTTGAAAGCAGTGAAGACCCCAAATTCTGAACAATGTTCTCTATAAGGTCCTCATTCTCCTAACATATAAGACAATCTTTAAGATAATTTTTAAAATTTTTGTCATCTTTACAGTATTATTTGATGAGCAAAAAACCACTAATACATTTTTTTAAAGACAAGAATTAAGGGTGTTGGTCAAAGGGGTCTTTAGATTTTATATTTGAACACTAATTTGTTTGAAGTTGACTTCACATAAGTAAAAATCTCTTTTGGATAAAAATTATTAAACTATAACAGTTTGTACTGTTACGGTACTTTGAATGTTGGACAGTAGCTTGTCATAAATAGCAGGGATTAATTTTAATGGAAACAATGTTTTACTAAAATATTAATAAAGAATTATTATCATTCTATATATTTTGTTCTTTGATAGGCTTCATGCTAAGTCTAGTTTTGTGAGCATACTTAATATTTATAGATGTAAAAATAATTTTCAAATTTATACATTGACGACATAAGAACCCTATGTAAATATTCTCAGTTGTAATGCATTTGTTTTTGTTTGGATTTTTTTGTTTTGTTTGTTGTTTTTTGACTAGACTCTTTTTTTTTTCTCCCATTTTTCTATTCTTGTGTTTTTCTTTTTTACATTGGGTCTGTATTTCTTACGCTGCATACAGTTGTGTAAGGTGTATAAAATACAAGCTCTGCTGCCTCTTCCATTTACATGGATTTGAAGTAAACAGAGTTATTTTTCAACTGCAGATTGGAAGGCCCTCCTTAGGGTCCTCTTTGGTTCTCCCCTCCCCCCAGTAAGACTGACTAAACTCAATGAGGTGAAGTGCCTGGTTATAAACTGAATATGGGATCTAAGGGGGGGGGGAGGGATTTCACTGATTGTGATTGTTTACCAGGGAGCAAATGATCTGTCCTCTGTAAATTCACACTCGCTTCCTCTGCCTTAAATGTTGGGACCAGAGATATACCAGTAGAAGTGAATTCACTAGGATCTTCTCATGTGAAAGATGAGAAAAACATAAAGCTCTTGTGCTTTCTTTGTGACCATGTGGGGTGTACTTAGATGTCAGCCCTTTTGAAGTACCATGGGGAGTGTTGTCTATAACCAAGCTCTACTCCCTATGCAGAAGACTTTCAATTTTATCTATAGGAGAAAAGAGCATGTGGCTACTAAACACCCTCTGTCTTGCCAAAGACAGTAAAAGAGATAGTTGTGCTTCTGAAGGCTGCATGCTAGGACTCATGGCAGTACAATGTGAGATTGAATAAAATTATAGAGAGTGCTTCCTCTCCTGCACACTGGAGCACCATAGCTGTGGGGCTGCTATACAAAACAGAATTACGAAGCGGGGCAGTGGTGGTGCACACCTTTAATCCCAGCCCTTGAGAGGCAAAGGCAGAGGCAGATATATATATATATATATATATATATATATATATATATATATATATATATATCTGAATTCGAGGTCAACCTGGTCTCCAGAGTCAGTTCCAAGACAACCAGGGCTGCTACCCAGAGAACCCTGTCTGGAGGGAGCAGAACTATGAGATAGACCAAGATCTTAGTAGATGAGAGGACCCGCAAGATGTAGACGAGACTCAAACCAGCTGCCAAACACTAAAATAGTCAAGCATAGTTACCTTAGTTTGCACTACATTCTTTGATGGATGTATTTTTTAACATCGGAAGGCATGTTAAAAAAAAAAAAAGGCAAGGAAAATAGACCGAGTACACGAAGACAAGCATAAAACCAGGCTCAAATTTGGCACAGATTTATAAGTAAGAAGTTTAAGATAAGTATGGTTGAAATGTTAGGGAGTGTTGTAGAAAGCATAGTCAATATGCAAGCAGACAAGTAATGTAAGCAAAGAAATGGATACATTCCAAAGGCTCAAGAGGAAACAGTAGGAAAGACATCTCTGATATGTACTGAACACAGCCAAGGAAGATTCAGAAAGTTGAAAATTTCAGCTGAAATTTCTCAAACTAAAATGCAACTCATAGTAGCTGAACTGAAGATCAATTAAAAAGATGTAATTGTCACTGCAGTTTCAGAAGGAAAAGATAAATATGTTGACAACTAATGGCTGAGACTTTTCAAAATCGATAATGATAATCACAAAAATCGCAGATCCAGTAGATTCAAAGGAACACCAAGCAGATTAAATATGAAAACTACCCGTGTATACCATATTAAAACTGCAAAAAAGACGAAGCAAACCTTGAAAGAAGTTAGTTGGGAGGGCTTTTCAAAGACCCTCCTGTTGTAATGTCTATTATTTTGTATTGTTACTATTCGATAGAAGAAGGATTAAGAAGCATTGGGTTTCTCTTCAGAAACCATGCATACAAGTAAAGTATTTAATGTGTTTTTAAAGTCTGAATTCTATAGTGAAGTGGTTAAGATGGGGAAAAAAAAATGTTAAAACTGTCTGAGAGCTAGACACCGAAGGAAACCTCTGTCCTGGTTTCCTGAGGACAAGGCCTCTGAGGCTGTACCCAGAGAACCCATATCTTAACAGAAGTCACTGCAGAGGCAGGGTCCCATCCTTTAAAGTTTGAGATTCACCAGTCTTTGAGAAGTGAGAAGAGTTAGCACACTTGGTACTCAAAAATATGTAGTTAGGAACAGAAACACCACTTTCTCAAACCTTTCCCAAAAACCTAAAGGGGAAGAAACACTTATCTCCTGTGAAATCAGCATTACCATGGCAGAAAAGCCAGACAAACAATAATACAGACTAGTGCATCCTTATAAATACTCCTGAGGGCTGGGGAGGTGTCTCCGTGTTCTTGAGAGGACCTGGGTTTAGTTCCTGGCACCTTCATGGCAGCCCACGGCTGTAACTTCAGTCCTAAAGGTTCTAGCATCCTCTTCTGGCCTCTGTGGACACTGTACACGTGCAGTGCACAGACATACAGCCAGGCAAGACACCACCCATATGATAAATTAATTTTTTTAATTTAAAATATTGATTCAAAAACACCTTGGTAAAACACTAGAAAACAATTTAAATATATGTTTAAAAGAATCACATACCATAATAAAATGGTACTTCTGAAATGTAAGGATGGCTCTTCATCTAAGAATCAATAAATGAAGCCAATTGCCACGTTAATGTACTGAAGACACCATCAGTCAGCTGGCCTTAAAGGGGAGAATTGACAGAATTCAAGCCATTTCTTTTAGAAATTGAAAACCTGGGTGTTGTGCATAATTACAATCCTAGAAGTTGGTTAGTGAAGATGGGAGGGTCAGGAGTGCAAGGCCAGTGTGTGCTACACCAGGGTGAGTCTAGAAAAAGAGAACAGAACCCTCTCGATAAAGTAATAAAAGGGAAGTAATCAACAGGTTGTCTCTACTCAAGGAAGGGACACTTAGCCATGTCATCTTTCTCTAGCTGGCTATCTCATTAAAGGATTAAGGGCAACATACAGAAGCTTCATTGAAAATCTTTTTTTTTTATGGTTTATTTAACTTTATTTTATGTGCATTGGTGTGAAGGTGTCAGATCCTCTGCAACTGGATCTTCAGACAGTTGTGAGCTGCCATGTGGGTGCTGGGAATTGAACCCGGGTCCCCTGGAAGAGCAATCAGTACTCTTAACCACTGAGCCAGCCCTCCAGCCCCCTTCATTGAAAATCTTAATGGTAAAAGATGAGGTCCTCTTGACATGAGCCCATTAGTGGATAAAGAAAGTTCAGTCTGTACATAACAATGGAATATTATTTAACAATAAGAAATGACATCCTGGAACATATAACATGAAGGTTCTTTGAAAACATGCTAAGTGAAGTAAGCCGTTAAACACAAAAGGCTAATTTTCTATGATTTAAACTTACTGGAGTACCTAGAATATGAGGATTCAGAAGTTGGCATAGAGGCTACCAGAGATGGGAACAAGGAGTGATGTTTAGTGGGTAAAACAAATGGTGAGAATTGTCTGGAGATCGTGGTCATGACTGCATAATAATGAAAATATACAGGAAAAATGGATAAAATGATAAATCTTCCCACTCAAGTTCAAAAATTCCTCTCATAATTTCAGTATCTATATTGTCTTTGGAGTCATTTTCTTGCCAGGTGCTTTTGGCACACACATTTAATCCCAGCACTCAGGAAGGCAGAGGCAGGCAGATCTCTGAGTTCGGGGCCAGTGTGCTCTACAGAGTGAATTCCAGGATAGCCAGAGCTATACAGAGAAATGCTATCTTAAAAAAACAATTTTTTAAAAAGTCATTTTCTTCAATGTATTTTCTTGTTTTCTTCACTATATCCTTGATGTCTAGTACTTTTGTTTGTGTAGTACACATGACATTGTCAAGATGCTAGACGTTTTTCATATTTTTAAAAATATTTTAACTGAAGTAGAATTATACCATTTTCTGCCTTCCCATTCCTCCTTCCAATCCTCCCATGCCCCCACTCTCAAGTTGATAGCCCCCTTTTCTTTGATTATTACTTTTACATACACAGTGTAAATGCGCACATACATATATATGCACAAGTAATTAAATATAACCTGTTGGGTCTGTTTTTATTGTTTGGGTGTAATTGGACAACCCACGGAGGTGGTTTATCCCTCAGAGAAGCTAATTCCCCCAGCAGTTGTTAGTTGCCTGTAGTTCTTCATCTAGGGGTGGGACCCTTCGAAAATGTTCTCTTCCACACTAGTTACATTCATTGATTCTGCCGTTGTCCCGGCCTTGTTTATGTATCCATTTCTAAGAGAGGTTGTTTCCCAGCCGACTTCTTTTTTTTTTTTTTTTTTTTTTATTTTTCGAGACAGGGTTTCTCCGTAGCTTTTGGTTCCTGTCCTGGAACTAGCTCTTGTAGACCAGGCTGGCCTCGAACTCACAGAGATCCGCCTGCCTCTGCCTCCCGAGTGCTGGGATTAAAGGCGTGCGCCACCACCGCCCGGCCCCAGCCGACTTCTTGATATTCTAACTCTCACAATTTCTGCATCCCCTCTTCCTTGGTGTTCCCAGAGCAATCGCTGCAGGACAGTGCGGTGCAGTACAGGTGTACCTTTGGAACTTGGTTTCCCTTCAGTCAGTTGATCCCTGCACTGTGTCTAGTTGTGGTTTTCTGTGATGGTCTCCATTTACTACAAAGAAAGGCTTCTTTAATGAGGGGTGGTAGCTCCGGTTATCTGTGGGACTGAGGTTAAGATTTATAATGTAGTAGAGAATTATGTTGAGGCAGCAAAGGGTGGTCGTAGATTCTTTTCTAAGGTCCATGACCTCACCAACCCTGGACAGCTGGCTAGGTTTCCAGTACCAGTCACGATTTCCCTCTTGTTGAGTATGCCTTAGGTCCAGGCACCGCCATGTGAGTGCCATTTATTACATCTTTACAGAAATCTTGCCGTCATAGTCATTGTCGTGGTTCATGGGTGTTGCAGTTGGGTGGGACTGTTTAATTGCTTCCTTTCCTTGGCAGCTTGC